TGTCTGTTTGTTGGTCTGTCTGTCCGCACGATACCTCGAGAAATAATTGAGAGAGCGATCTAGGAATTTCAGGGTCGTTTTGTATCATAAAAAGACAGATCGAGGCCTAGCTATATGTGCGCCAGGCGCGTCGCAGCGTAACAGTGTTTCGTGAGATATCGCGAAGCCTGTTACGCGAGACGTGGTCTGGCGTACATATAGCTAGTGTATGCTTGAATGGACTTTATTGGAAAGTTCAGGCCTCGATCGAAATCTGTGCCAAATTTGAGACCTGTCCAATGAGGGAAACCATCCGCGCTCAAATTTGGCACAGACTCAGATCGAGTCATGAGCTTGCGAATAAAGTCCACTCAAGCATATGTCAATTCTTTTGAAAAACCCTAGTGCTCGTGGCTACCAAGTTTGGGGCCTTAGTCTTATAACGGAGTCATAACATAGGTAGGTGGTCCTTAAACCCATTACCATAACTACACCCAAGTAGAAAAACACAAATGAGCCCTTCTATTAGGCGTCTGCGTACTCAAGATCACTCGATGCGCTCCGAGGGTCCAGTTTCTTCATTACCGCGCCTAATTTTGTTTCCCTAATAAGCCAGGAGTTATCGAGAAAATACGACGAATTTTGTCCGAAATATGGGCCACTGACTGTACTTGATGTTTTGAAGCCTTCTTGAATCAAGAAAAAAAGGTCTTCGAATAAAGAAAGGAAGATTGAACCAAGAAAATCGGCTTGAAAAAACCAAGCCAAGAATACTGTTTTCTGGGTGTACGGCAAATCCTGGCAACCCATTCTAAGGGGCTGAAATAGGGGGGGGAAGTGCCCAGAAACGTTCGAACAGGAAAAAATTTTGAGAATGTGCAAAGAGATCAACCGAACGCCGCCGAGCGGCCAAGCACGCCCACGCCCTGTCTAACGGAATTACCGAGCCCGAGCACGTGCTCAGCTGCATTTAAATTAGACTAGCAACCAGCGAGCGAACTCAGCTGTTTCTATTTCACGTGTGGTTGCGTGGCAAACTTAGACCACGTGGGGCACGGGTACTAATTTGGCGTCAAAAGTGAGCATAAAACACTTAGTGTAATGTACTCTTTGGATGGCTGTAGGTTGACAATTTTTGCGGTCTAAATCAAAGAGATGCTTTAAGAGGTACCTTTTAAGTCCAGGAATGTAGGGCAGGAGTTGATTCGAAATTTCCATTATTTCCGGAGCTTGGGAAAGTTGCTGAAAATTTCCTTTCTTTCGGAAATTTTTAAATTTAAATGAATTCTTGTCGAAGAGGTGTATCGGGGAAACTTCTTGTGAAAAAGGTCAACTCCTTTCTCAGACCCCTTACGGGAGGACCCCTGTGAATTTTCCGAAATCCAGAATTAGAAAGATGAAGAACTTGATATTTCCTTAAGCAGTAGGCCTACTGTGAGAAACTAATACGTACGGTATTGAAGGCCAACATTTTTCAAAAGTAGAACTTCGTGAAATTGCTGTTGTGAGATGCAGACCTTTAGGAAAAATGTTTCAGGCGTCACAAATTTTGACGCAAAATTTTCGTTCAAAGATTTTCTTGGTCAGACAGGTCTATTCTACAACTCTAAGTCAGGGCTTCGGTCTCTAAGCCCCGCTTGTCATTTTTTCACTTTTAACTTCGACTTGTTCGCGATTGTTGCCAATTTTTCCCTGGGGTCCTAATTTTAAAATCTGAGGTATTAGTTTAAAACCACAGAAGGCAAAAGCACGGACCCTTTTTTTTCTATTATGATTTGAATTAGTTGTGTACAATGTACACCAAAGGAGTAAGTTGTTTACCCCACGTGTTTCGCACTCGGATTTGCAGAGCGGTTCGTCTTTCGTACCGAAAGTTTACGTTGATAAAAAAGTGTTAGGTTGTGTCCACCCAGACAGCTCGTTTGTTGAGGTACCTGCTGATAAGAGGGTTTACGACTCCGATTATATGTGTCTTTTGCAGGTCTAGAGACGTGGCAGCTTTCGTGCTACATTGAAGAGGTAGTGCACACCGCACTCTTGCGTTGCAAGCGCTTCAGGTAAGGAATGCTCCAACCCATCATTCAATTGGCTTTCCGAAACCCGGTTCAAAATTCGGTATACGTCGTCTTGCTTCTAAAAACAGATTTGTAGCGTTAAATTTTGAAAAGAACGTGTCCTAGATCAGCGGTCAAAATTTTGATACAGCCACTGTTTTTTTTTTTTTTTTTTTTTTTTTTTTGTAAACAGGGTCAAAATTTTTCAGTACGTGTTACACACGATGTGACATTCTCGGTACCTAACAGAAAAAAGTTCTAGTGATTTTTGTGAGGGGTAATTTACTTCCTTATTTTCAGTGTGCAAAATTGCCATCGACAGAAAATCCTTGCGAAAAGTGGATCCAGAATAATTTTCTTCGGTTCTAGAAAAATGGAAAATCGAGTTTAGATTATTGGCGTGGGGGGGGGGGGTATTGCACTATCAACCCGTACTCCTCATTTTCAGGTTCAGACCTTTTTAAACATTTCTGATATAATCTTAAACAGTGATGTCGTGGGCGCCAGATGCACACTGTTGCTGTCTTTCCGAAATCAGAGTTGTAGACTTATAGTTTTTTCCTACGCGTGTTTTTATTACTAGTTGCAGACACAATGGTGGCCTCCTTGGCTGCTGGCACCAGCAGTGTCAACGGCTGCGACGCGTCTAGTCCCATCCTGGTGTTCTACGCCGCCGCACTCAGCTCTATCCTTCGGGATCACGAGGCGCAGAAGCAGAGTGCCAGCGAAAGGGGTTGGTTTTTTAGACGATCCAGTCTATACCAGCACGTTTGGCGCGGTAGGGGGGTGGGGGGAGGGGAGCGGTGCGTTGTATGATCGTCACAACTTCCCTCCGCCAGCCAACAATCACTACTGTGCGCGAAAAATTTCTCAGGCTGTGTTCTTGAAAAAACGTTAACAATTCTTGTTAACCATAAACGGACCCTTAGTAAATATTTTTTTTTATAG